TCTGTCCAGGCTCAACAAGGAATTCTAATGTGGAAATTCCTTCTTTTGGTTATACTCTGTCTAGCTGTCTGTCTCTTTATGTGTTCTTTTGTTTGTCTTTCTCTTTTTGTTTTTTTGTTAGCCAGTACTTGTTTTCTCTTTCTCTCATTGGTTTTATTTTTACCTCATGCCTCTCATTTTTCCACTTCCTTCCTTCCTTCCTTCCTTCTCTCTGTCTCATTCTTCTCTGTTTTTCATTCTCCCCATTTCCTTCCTTCCTCGCCCTCTCTCTCTCTTATTCCCTCATTTCCTCCTTCACCCCCTCCCCATTCCCTCATTCTTTCTCTACTTACCTCCCTCATCTCCCCTTCCTCTTCCTTTCCAATCTCTTTCCCCTTTCTCACTCATATCTTTATCCCCTCTCCTTCTATCTCCCTTTCTCTCTCCTACCTCCCCTTCCTTTTCTCTCTCCCCCTCTTACTCTTTTCTCATACCCTCTCACTTTCACTCCCCTCACTCTGCCTTGATTTATTCCCACCATTGTTGCTTAACCCATTCCCTCCGTCTCCCCCTTCCCCTCCTCCCCTCCCTCTTCCCTTTCCCACCTCCCTCTTCCCCTTCCCACCTCCCTCTTCCCCTTCCCCCCCTCCCCCTTCCTTGTCTTCTCCCCCTTACTGTTGTTGTCCGTATCGCCTAATTGACCTTCCTGGCGTGTTTTATGGCGTGGGACGTTATCACCTTGTGGTCCACCAATCACGGTCTAGGACTGCCTAATCACTTGCCAAGCCCTCTCAGAACATTTAACCAGTCATGTCCCCTCTAGACTGGGTTAGCAAATCACAGGTCAACCAATCATGACCTCGGATTAGCCCTTCACCTCCTTGCGTCCATTGAGCACCCGGTGAGACTTGATTTATGCTGGCGTTAATTACAGGTTAAGAGGTGGTGACGGGAACACACTATGTACTCTATAGTATTGGTCGCCTTACCGGTATATGTTTATTTATTGTCCTCTGACGCCCCAGGAAGGTGATGTTATACGTCCGTGTGTCCATCGTCATATCCTTGGTTCTGTCTGTGTGTCCTTGCGTCTAGCTGCGCGTCTGCATGTTGATATGTGGATTGAAATGTACGTCGTTTGGCCCAGTTCTACGTCGTTGAATGCACTTGTGTGCCCGTGTGTTCCTACGTGCGTCCGTCTGTTTATATGCATCCGTGCGTACAAACGTGTGGGAGTTGTGAACACGATACGTTGAACATATGACGGTAGATTTTAACTGACCTCAATAATTTTGTCATTACTTGTTCAGAGTTATGGCTTATGGGGACTTTGGTGTGGCGCATTGGGGGAGGAGGGAAGGGGCGACACTCCTACTACTTGTGCCAGCCTCGTTTATTTATTTATCCGCAAATGTTATCACAGGGACAAGCAAACTGACCACACAGAACGCTGGAGGCAAAAAACAAAACAAAAGCTCAGCGAGAAAGATGACAGTAGTGGAGTAAACAGATGATTTGATTCTATTATTTGTTAGGTGAAAGAAGGTCATTATGGAGAGATTTTTTTTAGATCAATTGATATTCATTTAGATCTGCCAGAAGTAAGTTTTTTTCATAACGAGAAATTCTGAAGCGGAAAAAAAAGATCTGATTTTATTTTCTGATTAACGAAATTTTTTAAAGATTATTCACGCCTACTCTTTCTCCCCGTAGAGTTAATATATATATATATATATATATATATATATATATATATATATATATATATATATATATATATATATATATATATATATATATATATATATATATATATATATATATATATCATGTAAGTCACCACGTATCGCCGTACTGTAGGTTGATCCCGAGGGTAGGCAAGCTTAGGTTAGCTTAGGTTAGGTTAGGTAGTTTAGTGTAGCTGTCATCAAATCCATATATAGCGGCCGACGAATCACAGGATCGCGTGGTGCTAATTGCTCGACCTTGTTATACCTGCCATCTTGTAATAGGGGGGTGTGACGCCTCTAGCCTATGCGGTCAATATTTATGAATTAATTAAAGTCTCTCTCTCTCTCTCTCTCTCAAATACACCAGCAAATGCATCAAAACACCACCACCACCACCACAACAACAACAACAACAACAACAACATCAACATTGCAGGATTAAATCAACTAAGTCGACATTATTTTCCTCCTCGTTGTCATTGTATGTAATTTATTCTTTGTTTTTATATGTTAAGAAGAGAATGTGTTCGTCACCCCCCAGTGCGGTGGCTAACCTCACGAGTGAATGAATGAACCTATGAGTAAGATGTGTCAACCCAATGAATACAGTGTGAATATGATGACAACCCCTTGAGTACGATGGTTTAACCTCTTAAGTACAATGACGTAAGTGTTAACCCCTTGAGTAGAAATAATAAAATTCTTGAGGCCTTTATGTAGAATGTTTCTGTTAATGTTTATGTATTTAATTGTTAAAGTAAATCTAAATCAAGTTTCCTGTGCAGTGACTTTTTTTGGGGGGGGGGGAGGACATGTGTGGGAGTGTGTGTTAGGAAGACATTTATTGTGTGCTTATGGTCCTTCAAATCACCCTCATTCCTCCCCCTTTCCTCCCACAAAAAAAAAAATCTATTGTGTTGGAGAGATTTATGAATATCCCCCCAACACACTTGAATCTTTGTATAATTTTTAGGAGGTTTGAAATTGGAATGACACTGATTTTTAGCCTCCTGGATACACTACAGCTGTATAAATGTCTTCTTTACACACACACACACACACACACTATGAACCTCTGTGAAGACGAGGTTGAATCAAAGATGTATGTGAAATAATCATCTCATTGTCCGTGGAGTTCTTGACCTCTCCTTCCCCCTCCCCTCCCTCCCGCCCTCTCTCCCTCCCTCAGTTCCTTCCTCTCTCACCCCCCAGCACTACCTATATCACCTGGGGGTGGGTGGGTGGTGGGGGAGTATATTGATTTATTCGTCACTGTCAGTTTGTTTGTTGCTTCATACCTACGTTCGCCATTAAACTCTTTTTTTTAATACTTCTGTGATAAGAGTAAAAGAAAAACAATTAACGTGTGCATAATCCGTTATTTTTTGTTGCTTTAATACTCTGGTGATAAAAAACAAAACACAATTTACGTGTACAAATGCTGTTGACTTTTGTTAATTTCTTAGTTTGGGGAATTTTAAAATGTTGTCCTATAAATAAACAGATTAATTTTTTCCCCTTGGCCTCCTGACCTCTGAGTAACAGGGCTCTTGTGTTCCGGTTTGAGGCTCTCCTGTCTATTACTAGTTGACGTTCCTCATGTCTGTTGATCTATCTATCTATCTATTCTTCACGTGGTCTTTTAGCGTAAGGGGGGGCATAAGGCTCAACTCATTGGGGTAGTAAGCCGTAATGACTTTCGGTTGTCACTTCAAGGTCAACTACCCCTCTCCCTTCCTGCCCCCCCCCCACCCCCTCTTTTCTTCCTCCCTACCCTTCCATGTCTATTTGTGTCAGTTGCTCATCTGACGCCGTGCAAATGCGTAAAAAAATGTGTGTGTGTGTGTGTGTGACTCATGCGTAGCGACGCGTTGGAGGAGCGTGTTGTTTAGTAATATGCACACGTACCTGCTGCCACCTGGTAGTAATTACAGGTATATGCACGTATACTGGGCCACACCTGTACACACACACACACGCTCACACCTGTTGGCATTCTTGATGAACGTTGGATCATATGCAACGTATATACACCCACACAAAGGTTACATGCACATGCACAAACGTAACACACACACACACACACAGGGTGAAGGGCATGGCATTTTATTATTTATCAGCCCCACCACTACCAACCCCAGCTGGACCACCTGTGTTGCACCTGAGCTGTTGTTAGCCCCTCCCTCCCATCTCTCTCTGTTAGCCCTCCCCTCTCTCTCTCTGTTAGCCCTCCCCCCCACTCCTCTCCCTGTTAGCCCTTTCTCCACCCCCTCTCTCTGTTAGCCCTCCCCCACCCATCTCTGGTAGCCCTCCCCACTCTCTCTGTTAGCCCTCCCCACTCTCTGTTAGCCCTCCCCCACCCCTCTCTGTTAGCCCCCCCACCTCTCTCTGTTAGCCCCCACCTCTCTGTCCCCCCCACCCATCTCTGGTAGCCCTCCCCATCTCTCTCTGTTAGCCCTCCCCCACCTCTCTCTGTTAGCCCTCCCACCCTCTCTCTGTTAGCCCTCCCCCACTCTCTGTTAGCCCCCCTCCCCCACCCCTCTCTGTTAGCTGTTAGCCTCCCCATCTCTCTCTGTTAGCCCTCCCCCACCCTCTCTGTAGCCCTCCCCATCTCTCTCTGTTAGCCCCTCCCCCACCTCTCTCTGTTAGCCCTCCCCACCCCTCTCTGTTAGCCCTCCCCCATCTCTCTGTTAGCCCTCCCCCACCCCCTGTTAGCCTCCACCTCTCTGTTAGCCCCTCTCCACCCCTCTCTCTGTTAGCCCACCCCATCTCTCTCTGTTAGCCCTCCTCCCTCTGTTAGCCCTCCCCCACTCCTCTCTGTTAGCCCCTCCCCTCCCCTCTCTGTTAGCCCTCCCCACCCTCTCTGTTAGCCCTCCCCCACCCCTCTCTGTTAGCCCTCCCCCCACCCCTCTGTTAGCCCTCCTCCACCCCTCTCTGTTAGCCCTCCTCCACCCCTCTCTGTTAGCCCTCCTCCACCCCTCTCTGTTAGCCCTCCCCCACCTCTTCCTGTTATAGTGACGTCTTGCTACACACTCTTGTTCTTATTATCGTATAGTAGCAAGAATGATAAGGGTATTAATCTTCTTGTTTTTTATTTCTCATTCGTTGTATTTTGAATTATTATTATTATTATTATGATTGTTCTTGTTCTTCTTATTTTTGTTCTAGTTGTTGTTGTTCTTCTTCTTACTACTACTACTATTACTACTACTTTGTTCAATGCGTGTCGGCCGTATAAACACAAAGTTAATGGTTTCTACAGCAAACTAAGTAATGTCTCTTATCCCACAGAGGCAGATCACGATTGAGCTGTCCAGGAGGCTGCTGTGTGGATGTGTTGTTGATGGTAAGTGACGAAAGTTCTCATTGATATATTATGAAATTGTCTCAACTTGTTAATGATTTCAAATATTGGCATCTCCAGTACCATGACTTAAAACTTCCCCAGTACCATGACTTAAACCTCCCCCAGTACCATGACTTAAAACTTCCCCAGTACCATGACTTAAACCTCCCCCAGTACCATGACTTAAAACTTCCCCAGTACCATGACTTAAACCTCCCCCAGTACCATGACTTAAACCTCCCCCAGTACCATGACTTAAACCTTCCCCAGTACCATGACTTAAAACTTCCCCAGTACCATGACTTAAAACTTCCCCAGTACCATGACTTAAAACTTAGCTCTGCACAATTCCCTGACCACTTTTGTACACGATCAAAAACCCGAGTACAATCAATTACCTCCTTTTTGTACGATAATTTAGTCCTCAGTGTACGATAACAACAGCCCCCAGGTGGTCGAGTACCGTACGCACGTAATCCATTGTGCACAGTGATTTTTAAAGCCCCCCTTTTTTACCATTATTTTATTCCCTTTATTTACGATGATGACTTGATGGGCTGTGTAAGATGATTTATTTCCTTATGAGACAGAACGAAATATAAGTATTGGGAGGTTAAAAGGCCTTGTCACCCGTAGAGCATGACTTGGTGTTCAAGGTCAAGGCTGTATTTTGTGTGTGTGTGTGTGTCATTCCCTAATACACACACATATACACTTCACTGTATTATTAGTATCGTTCTGAAGTATCGTTTCATCATACTTACTGTATGTACTGTACTGTATTCTCTTTCATGTTGTAATTTTGTACCACTTTGCCATGTACACGTACTGTAGGCAGTCTTTCTAGCGACCATTGAACTTTATAGGACGATGAAACAACTGTAGAAGATAGTGGTTTAACCCTTTGAGGATATTGAAAAAGATCGTCCTCAAAGGGTTAATCCATAGTCCTCAAAGGGTTAATCCATAGTCGTCAAAGGTTTAATCCTTAGTCGTCAAAGGGTTAATCCATAGTCATCAAAGGGTTAATCTATAGTCGTCAAAGAGTTAATCCATAGTCGTCAAAGGGTTAATCCATAGTCATTAAAGGGTTAATCCATAGTCATTAAAGGGTTAATCCATAGTCATTAAAGGGTTAATCAATAGTCATCAAAGGTTTCATTCATAGTCAAAGGGTTAAACCACTTTTTTCCCATAAAGGGTTAAGACTGGTGGGTGAAGAGGTCGTTTAGAAAAGCTTTCGTTAAATAATTACTCCTAATCTGTATATACAAGAACAACACATGTAGATAAGGTACAGTCTCAATACAATTCCGACGCCATTTTGGATTTCTTCATGTCGTAGCTTAAAGAGAGCCATTTAAAAGCATTCTCACGTCTCCAATTACGGGAGGGGAAGGGTTAGGAGGGGAGGGGATGGAAGGGGAGAGGAGGGAAGGGGAGGGGGGGGGAGAGAACTTTAACTTACGATCGTTGGAGATAATAGAGCCAGGTGGTGACGGGTATATTAAGGGTGTGAGGCTGTTAGTGGTATTATAAGCCAGTTTTACATTCCCTATAGTTCCGGGTGAATGTATTATTTATGGTGTAATGATGACTCAGCTCTGTAATTTCTAATGCATGTATACGTTCAGTGTGGTGTGTGTGTGTTGTGTGTGTATGTTGTGGGTGTGTTCTATGTGTGTGTGCGTGTGTGTTTTTATGTGTATGTATATCTGAGAGAGCATGTGTATGTATACTCGTAGATGTGTATGTATGCTAAAAAGACATGTACTGTGTGATGTTGGTTGACGTGTGGTTGCATGGTGAAGAATATTGACCAGTGAGGAATGCATAGTGGTCGTCACTGTCACCCATAACCTCACACCAACACATTCCTGACAGGGGAGGTGGCGACACTGCTGCTCTTACCCTGTGTGTGTGTGTGTGTGTGTGTGTGTGTGTGTGTGTGTGTGTGTGTGTGTGTGTGTGTGTGTGTGTGTGTGTGTGCGCGCGCTATATCCTCTCTCACAACATCCAATACTGTCTCCATGCCTGACTTGTTTCACAGTTTCTTTAGTAAATCTCGAAGCTAAAAATCACTACATCATGACAGGTTTTTACGGCATTTGCACTTAAAGGATTAGATTACTTGTGTTTTAATAGGATTTTTTTCTTTTGAGAGATTTTACTAGCCATCAATAACATCTGTTCGTATTGGTAAATAACATATGACCACAATGGGAATATTTTTGTAAAGATGTTAGGATAATTCCGACCATCTGTAGTCAACGGCCACCACATTGGATTACTGTACGGGTTTCAGAGCACATTATCTCTAGGTTCAGTACAGTAATTACGGGCTCTTGCTACCCCCAGGACACAATAACTAAGCACCGTTTGGAGCTCCTGTGGTAGAGAGAAGTGGTGGCTGACTGACTGTATGTATAGGGTGATGTATAGAGATAACTGTTTGTTTGGGGTGTTGCATAGAAGTTACTGGTGACTGGCTGTATGAAATGTTGTATGAGAGAGAGAGAGAGAGAGAGAGAGAGAGAGAGAGAGAGAGAGAGAGAGAGATTGAGAGAGAGAGAGAGAGAGAAAGAGGTTGGTGATTAGCGTGAAAAAGAGAGATGACGTGTGAGGGGAGCCAGTGAGGAAACGAGCATGGGAGAGGGAAGGGAAGGCAGGGGAGGGAAAAGTGAGAGGGAGGGTAAAGAGGGGAAGGAAGGGAAAATTGAGAGGGAAGGTTGTGAGGTGAGTCAATGATTGGGCAAGTTAGGGGAGGCAGTGATGGAGCGAGTGAGGGGAGGCAGTGATGGGGCGAGTGACGGGAGGCAGTAAGGGGGTGAGTGAGAATTCCTGGGACTCACCCTCTTGTTATGGTGACGGAACTTAGTGACGAACGAGCCCAGGGCCACGGTAAAGGAGGAGGGGGGGGGGTGGGGCGAGGGGGAGAGTGAGACTGAACGAGAGGGAGAGAGATGGGTGAGTGAGTGTATGTGTCCTACGTTTGAAGAGCTGTAGGTTATGTGGAGGTCGATGGAAAGATATGAGTGTGACAAGGAGTTCCCGTAGTCGACATAGGAAGGTGAATAGGGAGGGAGGGAGGGAGGACGTTGTTGGTAGGTAGTTGATAGGTAAAGCTGGAGACTACCAATAACATCAGTACACCCAGTTCCTGAAACACACACACACACATGTGCATATATGCACATATACTGTCGGGTGTGCAGCACGTGTGTCGCAGCAGTTGCCCCTAACACGCACACATGCATCTAATTCCTCAGCAAAACACGCACTAACTACTACTGAGGTCCCTCACCGCTCAATATTAACCAAGGTTGTAATCACGCCCACCTACACACACACACACACACATCGTTTAATACAGTGGTGTTTGTGTGTGTGTGTGTGTGTGTGTGTGTGTGTGTGTGTGTGTGTGTGTGTGTGTGTGTGTGTGTGTGTGTGTGTATCATTATGGCTGTGTGTGTGTATCATTATGGCTGTGTATTTAATGTGACGTCGAGCAAGGAGGACTTGACCAGGCCAGGATCACCGTGTTTATTATGTACCAAGGTGTACCCAGCAGAGTAGAGTACAGAACACCCAGGGTCGTCCACCGCTGAATGACGACCACCGTAGAGGGAGGAAGTAAACTAGGTCAGTGTCGTAACTGAAAGATGTATATTAAACGTGATATTGATATTGTGAATGAAACGCTCCACTGCCAAGTGAAATGTAGACCGCGGGAATAATTTAAGAGGAAGTATTTTATATTTTAGTGGGTGTTTTTATGTGTGTTCGCCATTAGTGGGTGTGCCTGGGAGGTGTGAACGCGATGACTCCAACAAGTAGCGAGGGAATTTTTAGCCAACTTGGCATGTCTGGGTATATCTCAACAAGACCTCAGACGAGCAAGTTCAATAATCTGCATTTTCTGCCGCCATTATCCAGAGTTATGGTCTTCTGGGCTTTACCTTGGCGCAGTGGGGGGTCTTACCTTTACTGCCGACCTTGTTATTATGAGGTTAATTGAATTTATGATAGAAAATAGGAATAACAAAGAATATGTTCCTATCATCTATTTAGGTTTATTAAAAAAAACTATGATCAAATAGCTGTAAACTTAGGTGTGTAGAATGATCTTATCTGACCTGATCTATCGTGATTGGAGACTGAGATATATCTCTATGGCTGCCCGCTTCCCTTCATTATTTTTCTCTATTCCTCGCCACCATCTCACCCCAGTCCCTCCCCCTCTATCCCATCACCACCAAAGAGCAGGTGGTGGCGGGCGGCTGAGGGACACACACACACACCTGGCCGTTGGTGGGTGTTATCGGCACCTCTCAGGTATTTTGCGCGACCTCCTAACATCCACCTGAGCTACCTGTGGCGTGTCGGTGCTTCTTACCTGCCTCTCTCATTACCTTCGTGTTATGTCATGTTCCCTTGTGTTATTGGTCTTGTTGGTGTAATGGGCCGCCTGATGGTTATTATATGTAATGCCGTATAAACCCGTGTGTGTGTGTGTGTGTGTGTGTGTGTGTGTGTGTGTGTGCACTAACCTGACTTATCTAAATCTAGCCTAACCTAACCAAATCTAGCCTAATAATCTAAGCCAAACCTGCCATAACCTGTCTGAGCAGAAACCTAACCTAATCTGACCTAAAGGTTAAGTTAGGTTAGGTTAGAAGCTATTGAGTGGTGTAGCTCGCTGGGCCAGTCATTGTAAATTCCCAATGTTTAACCACTCCGTGAGGTGACGACGGCCGTGCTGCACCTGTTAGCGCCAAAAATAACAAATAGAAATCAACAGAGGTAATATTACAGGCAATCTAGTACCATAAATACAGGACATAAGTGTTTATGTAACTGTTGTGGAAATATACAGGTACACTGAAAATTTAAAATGTTGTTTACAGTAAGAGAGAATGAATGAACCATAGTCACGAAATATCTGTATTCACTCGTTAAAAAAAGATGATTGTATTTGTAAATAATTGTAATCTTTATGTTTCTTTTTTCATGTAGGAATTGAAAACTAGCGAATAAAAAAAATATTTTGGATGAATCAGCTGTCTAGTGGGTCTGAAGATGTAGGTCGACTCCTGGTATTCAGTTAAAATGTGTGATGTTGGCTCCTATGAATGTGTGACTGTATATTTCACTACATGGATATAATATACTAATCTTGTCTTATCTTTGGAGTTATAATACCGTAACTAGTCGTTGCCTGACGCTAGCCGATCTTGTTGCCGTTACTCAGGTGCAGTAATGATTCAGTCTATTACGGTGACTTACTAACTAGACTTAGGAATCCAGTCTTGTCTTGAAGCAGACGATGGACGACCTTGGGGCGCTGGAACACGAAGTAAAGCTTTAATGAGTTAGAAAGGAGGAAATTTGTTACAATTCCCATGCTCCCCTACGCTGGGAATCAAGTCTTGCCCTTTACTCTGCTGAAATGGGAGTTTTTTAATCGCCACAACTCATTACTCGACGCCAGGATTCCAGTCTTGTCTTTACTCAGTTAATAAAGAGAGATATTTTATGACAAGAATTTATTAGTGTAGACTAAGGTATCCAGTCTTGCCTTATCGTATTTATTTACTAGGGAAATTAAAGTTATTTAGGAAAACGTCCCGTGGTAACTGAAGCTGGTACTTCTTCGTTCCATGCTGCCCCCCTCCTCCCCTCAGGCCGAACTGTTTATACAAGTCCCGAGAACCAGCAGCGCACTTTGCTAAACCACCTTCCTTGGACCACCACCTCCCGGTCGATCTCCTAGCATTCCAACACTCGTAACACTGTCACGATAACTGGGGGCAGGACATTGCCAACCCTCCACCCCCTTCCCCCATTATCATCAAGACTTGAGGGTCGTAAATATTATGACATAGTTTAGGTTTTGAGTGATTTGTGGCGTCAACGCCGGTGTTTTAGCTGGCCCCTTGCTTCTGGATGGTAAGCTTAGTTAAAGGGGCTTGACAGGATCTATGCGGAAGTGTGTTGACGTATGCAGGTGGTAGAATTAGGGCACGGACGACAGTATCCACGGACTCCTGGTAAATGTAATGACTGTCGGGCAGTTTTTGGCTCTGAGAGAAAAAGGAAACATAAATTGGCAGCCTCATACCATACTTACGACTTGATCTGTAGCAAATGTGTCGTCCGTATGTAAGTTTGTGTGTGTGTGTGTGCGCGCGCTCAGGTTTGCGATACCGTTGTGCGTCAATTCGTGAGTCGTATGTGCATGACTTAACTTTTCTTTCAAAATATTATCACATGTTCATAGCCAGCAGCACATACCACACCAGCAAAAATCAACCAAAGAACAGGTTGGAAGGCTTTTGGTTATCTCTATTCTTATCAGTGTGCTTGCAGTTTTGCGTTATTATTTAAGTTGGGGGTATACGCCTTAAACCTTCGCGAGACTAAATTATAAATCTCTATAGAAAGTTTCATCTTTTAAATGAACCTGTTCTTGAAGTTTTATCCCCAGTCAGACATGCATAAACACAGACGTACATAAACGCAGACGCACATAAGCGGAGACGCACATAAATGTAGACTCACTTAAACGCAGATGCACATAACTGTACACGTTCATAAATGCAGATGCACATCAATGCATATGCACATAAACGCAGACGCACGTAACAGATGCAATTAAACGCAGATGCACATATAGTAGATGCAGATGCACATAAATGTAGACTCACATAAATGCAGATGCACATAAACATACATACACATAAATGCGGACGCACATAAACGCAAGAGAAACATAAACATAGATGCACTTAAACGTAGACATGCATAAATATAGACATACGATTGGGAAAATATAAGTACGTACTCTGTACTGTATACTCACGGAAAAACAAAACCAATTGCCCCCTTTTCCACTCGCATTGGGATTTAATACATCATAACTATGGAACAGTGAGGAAAATACATATTTGATACATCTTAGGTGTTGAGTAATGTAGGAGACCTTATTTATACATCATAGGTGAAGGGTGGGAGAGGGGGACGGGTTACGTTAGGGGACCTTCCGTCTTCCGTGAAAGGTGAGGACTCTGAGGAGTACTCGTAGTCATAGACTAATCATGATGACTCCCTGCCCAGCAGGCCAGCACCACCACCCGCCGCCACCCTAGGAATGTTGACACGCCATACTACATACCAAGGTCTATACAGGGTGATTCAGCAAAGAGTAAATTAAATTAGAGGATGAAATCCTTGGATAATTCTAAACCACAATGTCTCTATGGTAAAATGTCAGATTCTGCATAGTTCCCATGTTACAACACTTGTATATTAAAGATGTTGTGTTAATGAGAGTGAACTTGATGTGAAACCCCCGTAGGTTTTTGTAATCATTTATTCACAGATGTCTTATGTACAGCAGTACAGCGTGATACAGATGGCAGACACAGGTGCAATGAGACAGGGACCGTGTACGACCGAATGAGATAAAGGCAGTTACAGGGGGGGAGGGAGTTTCACATCAAATTCACTCTTATTAATACAACATCTTAAATGTATTGTAACATGGAAACTGTGCAGAATCTGACATTTTACCATAGAGACATTGTGGTTTAGAATTATCCAAGGATTTCATCCTCTAATTTAATTTACTCTTTGCTGAATCACCCTGTATAGACCTTGCTGCAAACTACACTCCCGCGCCACATCCTCCCCTCTCACCTGTACTACGTACCGCATACTGCACTCACAAGTCACACCACACTGACTGAATAGACTGTGAAGATGTTAAATATATATGTAGCAATGAAACATGATCACAGTTCAGTTTCCTAATACTGTACTGAGTGTTCAACCATACAATAAATATTTTGCGTGTGTATACTCATACACTACATTTGTAGAATTTCTTATGCAAATTTACTAATTTCCAAACATGTGGTTACAGGTCATGCATTGTTGGTTGAAGTGTTGTCTATGATGGCCGTGTTGTCTGTCTCCTGGAATATTTCAGTTCAACAGACAACTTTAGATCATAAGCACTTTGCTCATCACATTCATCGAACATTTAGTGACTGTAAGCCATTTCTTAAAATTTGATGTTGATATATTTCTTAAGTGAGCACACAGCAGTAATAAAGAAGTAAGCAGTCACAGAAGCCTCTGTCACCAGATAGATTTACCTTTTTAAAAATCTGATAGTAGCGTTGCTTTATTATGCCATTTATAATTTCACAGTTGTTTGATCCTGAATACAATTTTGAAAATTGATACAGTGTATAAGTGGTGTGTGTTAGTTAATTACAATTGAATTTTTTTTTTACAGAGGAGATGTGACACCATTGAGAATGGCGATTGTAAAGAAATGGTGTCACTTAGGAACTATCACACCTCAGGTATATTAACCTCTATCCATTAGCCATCTCTTGCTCTTTCTGCAGTAAAGTGTTTATTTTCGTTATCCAGTTCCTTCTGCCTTGAGAACAAGTTTTGATTTCCATTATGCCATAGCTCAGCTGGTAACATTACTCGGTGCTAAGGCAGAAATGTAAAAATCACAAACTTCACTTCTTTATCCAGCATATATAAGTCAGACACATGGCAGAGGTGATGCAACACAGTTAATGAGTGGAGAGCGTGAGGGGAGACAATTACAATGGAAGTTAGGATCCGCCGTGCTCTGCTAGCCACTTCAGTAAGATGGGTGGCACTCTGATCCTTCCCTGGACGTCCACCTGACCAGAATGCATGGTGGGGGTGGCGGTCAGGGGCAGCATCCTTCCCCTGGCAGTAAGGACTTCCAGGGGTCATCTGATTCTGAAGACGACGTCAATAATGGAGACCATGGTCAAGTGCCACACCACCACCAGGAAGATGCAGACGCAGAAGAGTCAATTGAGCTGGATGCTTCGTACCCCCCGACAGGAGATTATGGTGATGAGGATGAGGAGGATGCCATTGAGGTAATGGTAGAGACACTGCTGGGAGATTCTTACCGTGTGAGGGTCTCTCAATGGGATACTGCAGCAGGGCTCAAGGGACTCCTTTATCGCACACAAGGTATGTCTTGAAGCCACACATACTGTACATACACTCTTCCATACAAACACTTGCTTTCAAAAGTACAAAATAAAGAAATTTCCACATGAAAATTAACCTCCCACTTTATTTCACCTGACACAAAAGATGAAATAAGCTGGGGGCTAATATTCAAACAGTATGGGTAAAGGTAGATGAAATGGTTATCACCTGAAGGAACTTATGGAATTGCACCAAAATTTCTAGAGGTGGTATTTGCATGGTACAGTACTACATAAGAAAGTGGATACAGCAATACACAGAACCTGACCGAACCCGATCTAACATAACCAAACCTACCTAACCTTACCTAACTTCTGAATCAGGAATTCTGTCTTCTGGATCCTCTGCCATATAAAGTTGTTTAGCCATATTAAGTTTACGAACAGCCCCCCCCAGATCCCATAACAGCAGAATGAACTTTCTTTAATAGTGAGGTTGCATGTTACTCTGAGACTAATAATGTCGGTTGAATTAAGTCTTTGATCTTGTTCCTCAAGAAACACTGCTGGCATCTGATAACTTATGGATTTTCCAGTAGACGATGCGATAATTGCGTACAGTTGATTTCGAATCCAATGCAACTCCAAATTAAAGTGTAAGGTATCCAAACACCTGTTATGGAACTCAATCTTAACCATATGATGCTGATCTTAGAGTGGACCAGGACGACAGTTGTCACAGGAGAATTGATGCCACCATATTCTGGTAAAGAGTTGATTTCTTTGCTTACAAAACAGGTAGAGACGTTTTATTACTATCATATGATCAGTTTTTTGTTGTCTTATTACCACGTAATTTCCCTCTTTCATGCCCCGCCCACTGCAGGTGATTTAAGAGAAAAGTTGTCATGTCATTTTTATTACTTACTTTCATTCAAAGAACATCTCTGGAAAAATTGACCAATTCTATGAACTTCTTTTGGTGATAATCGTTTCCTCCACTACTACCTTCATATGATTTGACGTGTGCAAATCTGTACAGATATTTGTTTGCAGATGTGAATGCACGTGCGCTCTGCCATGTACAGTACAGCACTGTATCTTGACTACCTGAACTTTGTTTAATCCAAAGTTTCACCAGTTTGCCCGATTGCTGTGGGTTAAGATACAGTACTTGCCCTCTGAAATTTCCTTTTTTTCAGTTTGTATGACACAGCATTGATATACAGTAGTTTGTCTTAGATAGAGATATTTATTCAGTAAAATATTCATACAAGTTTATACTGTAATTGGTTCTGCATGTATATAGACACTGAAAGTACAGTGCAGGTACAGTATCATAATAATATTACAGCACATACAGTACTGTAATCGTGATAATTAATGATGTACGTACTGTATTGAAAAGTATAGCAGCCAAAAGCTGAAAATACTCAATGGACAAAGATTACAAACTATATTAACAAAAGCTTTCAGTACAAAAATGAGACATGGAGTGAACATACAAGTTATTCATTAATATTTATCATTATCAATACAGTAGTTAGAAAGCAAAGATAATCATAATCTTTTGTTGTACCAATAGATAAGATCATTTGCAAAGATGCCAAAGAAATCATAAATTCAGCCCTTTGGTGGATCAATATTAGTGTGACACATTATTACCTTTGTACTTTAGTTAAAATCATGCTGAGTTGTTATTACATGTAAACTGTGCAATGTACCCAGTAGCTACAGTAGTTTTTATTATTTTGATTTAATGATACCTGTACAGTATTTAGAAAGTGTCATTGAATATTACAAGAATTTAAAACTGTATACTGTACATCTTATGAGTTAAGACAAGCAATTTATAATAGGTAGATAAAAACAGTCCTTATAGATGTAGTTTGGGGAATTTTTACCCCAGTATAATCACATTTTATTTTATTTTACTTGATCACTCAGGAATCCCGACCAGCCACCAGCACCTAATTTTGGGTCAGAGAGTTACTCGATGAGACGTGTCTACTGGAGCAAGGTGTTGTAGATGGGTCCACACTGAGGCTGGTGCTGTCCATGCGTGGTGGACCTATTAATGCCCGCCGACTTCCCACACAGGAGGATATACTGTGGCGTGAAGTTACTGAGTATATTGATGTTAACAAGTAAGTAGGTATTAATGGTGTCTGTGTTCCTTGTAAGTGAACACTAATGAAGGTTACTTCTAATTTTATTTACATTGTTGTTTTTGATAATTTATTTCATAATGCTTTATCATACACAGCATTTTTTGAAGTGTTAGCAGAAAAACGAGTACAATACAGTACAGTGTACTGTTATGCAGTGTATGGATATTTACCCTGCTTTCAAGAAACTAAAATTGATAAAAATAAGCAATATAGTTCACTCTATCTTGATTAACAGACAGGATTTTCTATTTGCTTTTTGGAATCATATAGAAATTATTTAAATTGAAAAATTGTACTGTACAGTATACTTACTGTATTGCACTTTATTAATGAAATGAATTTTTGATAAAATTGTTTGTGTACATGATTTATCTATTTTAACTTAACTGGTCTCCCTAAAGGTTCAGTGACAGCCACTGTTAGATTTAATGTGTTTGGTGGAAACTAGAAAATTGAACAATGAAAAGCTACTGTAATGTGAACCACTGAATGAAACTACATTATTCTTTTTGTCAGTAAACAATTTGTGTTTACTTTCCTGAGTTTGTATTCTTAATAAATTGTGAGTGTTAAGAAACTTCCATCCATGAGAGATAGTTTCAAGTATCACAAAGCTCAGAACAATATAGTTATTGTCCTTGCCACACCTCCACCATATTTGTAGATTTTCCTGAGTACTACCTGTTAGTGAACTGGTTTATTGGCCCATAATATTATGTTTACAAAAAATTACCTGGCTCTTCTTCTGTCTTTAAAATAACTATGCTAGTATGAATATTTAACTGCATCTTAAAACAATTTAAGATACAGTCAGACACATTATCCCATCATAGTTCTTTGAAACTTCAACATTTATGCTGAAGTCATTAGATAAGATATTACCAGTATCATAAAATTTTAACACCATTGAGAGAATAAACTAGGGCTGTTGCTCTGACAGAGACGACTTGTGGGATGGCGTGGGTGGCCGCACAGTGACACTGCTCGTACTGAGGGACGGAGAAAATGTTAACCTCTACATGTGGAGAATCAGGATGGATCCTTCTCACCACTCAATGAATCCTGGGGCTCCATGGGCAGGTCATTACATGTACTGTACTTTGTATACATCCATGCAATCATGCAGACAGCTAGAGTTGTGGTCAAAATTCCTTTGGCAATTTTTCAATGTCTTATATGAGGGGATTGAGATTTTAAAAATCAATTTGTTAATTTTTTTGTATTACAAATGTACTGTAGTATTTTTTTTAAGTTTCAACTCTTACCTAATTTTTTAATGAAAAGCAGCATTCACCATATATAAACCAATCTCATACAGTATATGACTTATAAGTAGAAACCATATCATACCAATAAGACAACAGTGTGTATACTGTATTTAAGATAAAAAAAATTTTGTCCATAATTGTGTTTCATAAAGACTAATCCTAAACACTGTACAGGTACTAGTATCCTGTAGAAAATTTGAGTGTTTCTATTTGTGATTCATTCCATTTCCACCCACTATTTACTCCCTCTTCATACTAGAGAGGTGTAATGTGTGTCTTTACTCCAAAGTAAATTGTATCTAGTTTTGGGATTTCAATATTTAAGGGCAATAATGAAGGATTTGTTAAAGTTGGCTGTCTTATCCTGTGAGCTCTATGTTCTTGACCGGCTTATAACAAACAGATCTCTTTTAGTAATGAACCTGAATAGAATATCCTTTTATACATTATTTTTGTTAATGGATAATGTCTATTTTCCAATCATCATTATTAGTTCAGTGTTTATACAATGTTTTTCTCTCCAGAAGATACTGTATTGTTTCATATAATCTTCATTTTGTATTCACAATGCAGCAATGCTCGGTCGGAAGAGTTGGGGATTCAGGCAGCACAAATATCTGAGGAGGAAGTCAGGACCAGAGATCGAATGGCAGAGATCAGGGCCCGCATGGCTGAGATGAAGATCAGGAATAAGGTACGGTACAGTACATTACTGTATTTAATGGCATGAAATCATCATCTGTACCTGTCTGGCCAAGCGGGATACCACAGGGTAGTGTATTGAGCCCTCTGTTGTTTGTTTGTTTCATAATTGACAATCCTGATGTTGTACACTCCTCCATACAAATGTTTGCGGATGACGTCAAGGTTTTTTGGGAAATCAAGAACCAAGCTGACTGTGGAGAGCTGCAGAAGGATTTCTGTGAGCTCCAAGAATGGTTGAAGAAACTGCACTATTTGAGACTGAAAGTGAGAAGGACCTAGGTTTGTATGTTGACAATGAGCTGAAGTTCTCGGGCCATTGCGAGGAGAGGGTAAATCAGGCAAAAAAATTATGGGTCTTATAAGAAGGTCGTTCAGATATCTAGGCAGTCCGTCCCTCGTAACGATCTTCAAGAGTGAAGTGCTTCCTCATCTGGAGTACTGTCACCCTGTCTGGTCCCCGAGATATGCTAGGGACTGTCAATTGGTTGAAAATGTTCAAAGGTGGGCCACCAGACTGGTGCCTGCACTTTGGCACCTCAACTACCCTGAGAGATTGGAGCGCCTGACCTTGCCTAGCTTATACTACAGACGGATAAGGGCGACCTAACTGAGGTGTATAAGCATCTCAAGGGGCACTACTCATCAGTGTCTTACTTGGAGCTGTTGGGCCTTCGCCCCACAAGGTCATGACTGAAGATTGAATAAGCCGCAGGTCCGGAATTCATTGATAAATATATCTATAATACTGGCTTGAACCTTAAGTACCCTAGGTCTTTTATAGACAAATGCCTTAACATTACTACGAAATCTTTGTATAGAACTGATCCTAAGCCAACCCATGACAATAAGAATCTCTTAGTATTACCATTTAACAAAAATTTATCTCAAATTCCTATACAACTGAAAACCCGGAACGTTAATGTGACATTTAAAAACTCATGCACTGTAAAACAGATGTTAATTAAGAACTCCCCCAACAATGCAGGCGGCTGCATTTATAAGGTTCCTTGCAAGGAATGCAATATGTTCTACTTAGGCCAGACGGGTAAAGATCTTATAACTAGACTTAAACAGCATAAATATTGTGTTAGGACAGGCCAGGAATCCAATGCTCTGTTTATTCATATGAGAGATAATAAGCACTGCATTGACTGGGATAATGCCTCCTCAATATTACCTTGTAATTCAATTGTCAGTAGGAACATTATAGAATCCAGTCTCATTAAATATACCGAATCTGTCAACATGAATTTGAGTAATGGTATGTACAAACTGAATAATTTTGTGATTAAGAAGATTTATAACCAGGTGAGAAGGTTGGGTCATCTTACCCTATGACCTGACTATGGACAGCTGCTGTGCTTAGAGATGGCATGGTCAATTTTTTGATTAAGAAGATTAGTAAGGGTTGGGTCACTGCCTTGTGACCAGAACATTGTGGACACCTGTCTGTCCCCTAGGGACTTGATCTCGCTCTCCTCTTGCTGTATATATTAGCCTTGTCAAGGTATTATTCCTAGTCTGTACTCACCGATGATGTGAATTACACAGCGCTTGAAGACTTCGTGTTTCTTGTTTCCTTGTGGTTATCAGCATATACAAGTACTTGGATCCAACACCTACAGTGATATACTTATATATATATATATATATATATATATATATATATATATATATATATATATATATATATATATATATATATATATATATATATATATATATATATATATATATATATATATATATATATATATATATATATATATATATATATATATATATATATATATATATATATATATATATATATATATATATATATATATATATATATATATATATATATATATATACACACATTATAGTCTGCATTTGACAGATTTGGTTTCTGGCGTTTGGTCATTTCTGTGACACCTTGCCAGAATAAAATTTTTAGCTATCGGTTCATTCCATCATTTACGCGGAAGTTGCGCCTGGAGGTGAGCATTAGGTCGGCTCTTACGTTATCGCTGACGTCATATGGCGTATCGGACTGTGATTGGGCCACGCATCCTTACCTCCCTCCGCTGCTAGCTGTGATTGGTCTAATGTAACATGACGTCCCCTGCCACCAGAGGGAAAGAGTCGCTGACCTAGCGGGCCAGTCTCATTGTTCTCAGTTCTCGGCGTATATACTGTTCTCTCTTGTGCCGCTATTCCCCTCACAATGGCTTCGCTGGACCCCCACCACCCGAAAACAACCTGAACTACCTGGACCAAGCCATGGTTATGTGAAGGAAGTCATCGAGTTGGGGAGAAAATCAAGCTCATCCTTGACAAAGACATAGTCAAGCATCGGTATGAAGTGTCTAATAACCTTCTGTCGAAAATTATGGAGCGTATGTCCAGATGTATCACGACAACATCAATGCTAGTCGTCAGCGTAGTATTACGGACTTCTTAGCCGCAACCCACCACAACCACAGCCAGCCCAAGTCAGTGATAGTGACAGTGAGGATATGGACTTTGAGGGTTTGTCAGGAGCCCTGCAAACCTCTGTGAATAGTGATAGTGATTTACGGAGGGCCATAATCTGCCCTCTGCCTCCGGAACCAGCCGCCATCCGTGTGCCGACCCATCTCTTCTACTAATGTAAGTGTTAAACACCTTTAGATTTGTACAGTAGTGTAGTTTTTTATTTAGATATTATGTGTGTGCGTCAATACCATCATAAAATTATGATGTTATTTTTACTACAAGGTACTGTACGTATTGTGTCAGAAAAAAGTGGAGTTTGGGAGTCGGCCCAGTCTCTATTTCAATTAATCCCATATGTTCTGTTATTTCGTTTACACGTTTCTCATTTTACGTGGACCTCCACGGGTTCAATTGACCGCGTAAATGCAGACTAAGGTATACTGTGTGTGTCTATATATATATATATATATATATATATATATATATATATATATATATATATATATATATATATATATATATATATATATATATATATATATATATATATATATATATATATATATATATATATATATATACTGTATATATATATATGTATAGATATAATGGTGGCAAGGCGATTTAATGTCAGGAGACGGGGGTGGGGTGAGCAGGAGGAAGGTTCACTAAATTGTGAGGGCTGCCCTACCACCATACTAGTACTATTCATAGATAAAAGAAGGATTGCATGCTTAACGTTAATTTTGGTCACTTTTAAGAGATCTTGTCAAAACATTCAGCTAGATATACAGTACTCCAAAAACACTGAACCAATCTGACTGTGCATTAGCTGATGGAAATGGTGGGTAGTGTGGAGTTCCTCATGATATTGAGTTACTGGTTATCGTGCGATCCACATATATTTCAGCTAAGACGTGCTAGTTAAGTACTACACCAAACATGAGTTACAGTCGAAAATATTTTTGGCGGGAGATACTGGTGGTGCACAGTGGGCGTCAGGTGATGCTCTCACCCTGCCTGCTGTCACATGATTTAAGGTTCACATTTTGCACTCAGCAAATATGACAATTCCTAGTTTTACTGGAATTTTTATAAGCTTCAAAGGTCATTTTGTATGCCATTATACATGGTATTTACTTAAGCACTTAGCAATTGCTTTTTTCTCCCCTTATCTTGTATCATAATCATGCAAGAGAGTACTGTACAGGTATCCCTCGTTTAGCGTTAGTTTAAAAACATTAATTTGGTTTAGTACTAAAGAATTTTTACACCCCTTCTCACTTACGGTTAGGTCAAAATTTTGTTTAGTGATAGCTTGACTCACTAGGAAGGGGAAAAATTGGGGATGAAGTGGCCTGTGAGATGGCATGTTTCCTTTATTACATGTAATGAAACTAAAAATTTTAGAAAAATCACTGCAGTACTGTAATGTGGCATATAAATAAAGAAAATATAATATAAAATTATACAATAAGAAAAATGAAGAGCATGGGTGTGTATATGTATGAAATGAATTTATTTGTGATGGCAGAGGGCTGTAACAGCATCGCATGTAGAAGTTTGGTGTTATATACGAATCGGTTAACTTCGAAACAGTTTATAACAAACTTGTTTATTATTATTATTATTATTAGGGAGTACAGTACTGTACTCAAATATTTACCACCCTGCCATTTGAACCTGTTGTTCTCCCTCCGTGCTTTGCTGTTATCCTTCGTTTAGCGATAATTTTGCATAACGTTGGGTTTTCAGGAATGCAACCTCATTGTTAAATGAGGGATACCTGTACATCAAACAGTGACTATATCACTCTCTTTTCAGATGAAGAAAGAAAAAGGCAAGGTGTCCTCATCTGTAAGAAGATCACAGAGTCGTGGCTCCAAAACAGGGCCTGAGTTCCTTGACGACTTGTCCTCTCCTCGATTAGATTTGTCTGAGGGTCTAGTTCCCCGTGGTGGTGGAGGTTCCCGTCCTAATACGCGACAACGCAGTGGAAATAAGCATCTCACCACTGTCAGCCGCCGAGGGGGGCGAGGATCACGCCCAACTACACAGGAACACTCAGATATTCTCCGTACTAGCCTTTCCAGACCAACCTTGAAAGAACTGCCAACTGCTAACCCCCCTATTCCATATGATTTTAGTCGATGGAAGCCTCTGGAGAACATCCGTCCTCAAGGAGATCGTAACCGTCTTGCCTCAGTAAATGAAGACAAAGGGAGAGGACAGAATAATCACTATGATGGCTCCTATCGCAAATCAATAGTAAAACATGGGAAGGGAATAAACTCAGGAAACAATGGAAATAAAGGTGAAACTGATAAGGACACTCTTGAGGCTTGGCCAAGAAGAGATGTCTCAAAACCTCTATATATGCCGCCTGGAACACTTACAGGATCTCACCGTTATGATGGTGGCCGTCTCAATCGCTCCCATAACCAAGATCTTATGCGTGCAGCTCATCACACTGCAAACAACCGGCCAAAAACTTCTCCAGAGGTTTTAGAACGGCGGCCGGGGACGACAGGTGACCAGAGCACTGTCAGTGAGCGTATCCATTTACGTGCCCCTGATGAACGTCTTCGTGAATTGTGTACCATTCTTGGTTCATCAAGGGGAAACTCTCGACAATCCCAACATTTGGGGAGTTCTCCACCAGAGAACAATTACCCTATACCTAGTTTGTCCACGAGTCTATCAGGTAGTAATGGCTTGTCTCACAGTCACAGGAATAATTCAGTATCAGTGTCTTTAGCCTCCTTACGAAGTCGTGGTGGGACACCTCCATCTCCAGGGCCGGGTGCTCTAGTGGCCTCAGGATCACGAGAGCAACGGGACGTGTTGCGAGGACTGATGCGTAGCCAAGGGGGAACTTCCAGACGGACCACTCCTGAAGATGCACGCTTCCCCACCCGGCGTCCAGGTAGTGGAAAGGCAGCACCTGGTCCCACCCATCTTCCTCCTGTTACACCCTCACGGCGAAAGGGCCGACGGAGGCCAAAGTGTGAGCAGTGTTCCCGGCGCATTGGTGTAGCAACTACCTATGAGTGTCGCTGTGGGGGTAAATTCTGTGCTCAGCACCGTTATGCAGAGACACACTCTTGTACATTTGACTATAGAACAGCTGGTCGTAATTTGATTGAAATTAACAATCCTTTAGTGACCCCCAATAAACTTCCTAAAATATAGATAAACTATGAAGAAAATTGATTTCCAATAATACGACATGAAAATTTTATTTACAAAAGGTGCCTGAGTGTTCCACAACTTTATACTTGATAGTGACGCACATTGCGTTAATTGTATGTATATTATTTGGACAGTACATACAGTATATTAAAAATTAATTAGTATAATATTGAATTTTGGGACACTGCACAGGGTGGAGTTAGTTTACACTTAAATTGGAAATCACAGTCCTAATCAAAAACATGCATTTTGCGGTGTTGGTCAGGGAACCATCTTATTTAGATTCTTGATGTATGAAATATGCAATAGAATATATGCTGTATATATTTTCTATAAGATATATTACGTAAGATATACTGCATCAGACAAACTAAGAAGTATCATGCATAATATGCTCTTCGAAATATGTCATGTAAGATATACAAAACTGCTCAAGATCCCACAGCACCAGGGTAACCTGAACAGTTAAGAGCTGCTGTGTGTAGACATCAGTTGCCTGAGAAAAAATCTAAAAGTACAGCTGTCAGAGATAGATTCATCAGCTGATACTGTCCTATATCGACTTAGAGGTTTCTGGAGAGATCATCTACTAAATTTTGCTAATCTAGTGACATTAATGACATTTTGTTATTGCTTATACAGGGAACTGAATTGTTATGGAAGGTTAATATTTTTTCTCAACCTGGACTTCAGTTGATATATATTTTGCTGTACAGGTATATCGGTTTATATTTTTGTGTTTCTGGTTCAACTTGAAAAGTCAATAGGCCATTGAACTTTTCCAGCTGTAAAAAAGAATGGGTAATGTAAGATTAGCACATAAACTTTTTTCACAGATTTTTCTGTCGATAAACACATGTAAATCACTGGTTGTGCCCCTCCACCTTACTTTTGACTTGTACCAACTTATGTGTCTAGGTCCACTCAGCTCACTTATTCACTCCTTAGATCATTCTGGTGACAGTGCTTCTTTCTTATGTAATACCATTTCAAGGTGCCACCTTTTACTTCATCTTGTCACAGTCCCATATCATTTTTGTTACCTTATTCTTCCTATTTTGTCTACCCTAAACTTTACCCCTGTCAGATAATCTATTCTAACTGTTAACCATTTCTTATAGCCCCATATTTTATTACCACACAAGAATGTGGATTGCCCAGCACCTTTCAGCAAACCATTGCTTGCTATCACACTGTTTCTGATTTCTTAACTTCCACTCATACATCCTCACTCAAATGGTCTTTAGTTTGATTCCTGACTCGAGTGGAGGGTTGGGTTCCCTCCCTTTATGTTAGCTCATGTGCACTGAACTGATTAGTACGGTACACTGTCAGGTGTGTTTACTGATGATGGAACCACCTTTTGGTTGACTATCATCCTGCCAAGAGGGTGGAGTAACCCAACAGCTACTGAAGGTAGGATAGCCAGAATCATGAACAACCTAGACTCCCTTTCCCTTAATTTCATTCGTTCTCTGTAAGTGCTGCAACAGATGTGTTCTACCTTTTTTACTTACTTTTATCCTCTTCACTGATCGGCTTGTTAGTCGCTTGGGCGATCGGTTATGTCTCTGTTACTTTTCCTTTTCTTTTATCCTCTTCACCAAATATCCACGTCTTCCCACATCATGTCAGAGTGTTGCAGGTGGAATCTTCCGAGTGCAATTATCACTTTTTTAAAATTTATTTGTGGTTATCATTTCCTTTTCTGACTTCAATGTTATTCTCTAAAATTATTATTTTATACCTGTACCTTATCTGTATATACTCCTTATCTTTCACACATCCATTTCTCTTTGACTGTTACTTACTGCCCTTCTTAAGTCTTATATTATTAAATATACTGTACTGTATTGGAATGAAAAATATTATTATTTTTTAGGACAAATACGTGTGCGCACTTTCGGTAGTATTAAACTGTCTAGGAGGTTCTGGTGAGGTGGGTAATGTCACCAATAGTGCCCAAAATACACTATAGTTATACAAGCTCTACAAGTAGACACTGTAAGCTGGTGTGCCTGGGAATGTGGCTCTTGTCCAGCCAGGGAAACATACTATTGCTATCATCTGTTCCATCATTGTGTGGTGGGTTCTGTGCATCAAAATAAGTTGCTGATATGCACAAAGTGGGATGAGTCAGCGGATGAGTTGCCTAGGCCAAAAGGAGTATCACTAGATGTTGCCAGAAGAATAGAATAATGCTGTTAATAGAGATAAGGTCTTTATTGGTGACAGCTGAGTATGCAAATACAGTGGGGTATGCTATAACTAATCTAATTGGTTCTAGAACCTTGTTCGTTATAGCATTCGTTCGTTATAGGATTAATCCGTTCCAGGCCCCCAAATACAACCACTTAACACTGAAAAATATAATATTAAATTGTAAAAATTGTAAAAAAGTGCATAAATATGCATCTAAACCCTTGAAATAAAGAATATCATTAATACTTGTAATACAGAAACAATAAATTAGTTAAAAAAAAAATATATATATATATATATAATGTTCGTTGTACGAGTTTCGTTCGTTATAGCATTATCAATTTTATAGGTAAAACCGTTCTTTATAGGAATATTCGTAGTAGGATCCATTCGTTATAGCATACCCCACTGTAACTGAAAAAAATAATTGATGTAGGTGTTGACTTTGTTCACAGGCATATAACCTATGTTGTTAATGTTAGGTATTTGTTAGTTGTTTTATTATTATACATCTTTCTATTCGTATGCTATGTGTTAAATATTATTGCCAAAAGTATTTTATTTTTAAGAAATTATGTACCAGTACTTAATCCATCCCTATAGATTGTAAGGATAAATGATTAAGGAGGAAGTAAACAATGTCAGCTACAATGTTCATAACAGACTCACCTAATTTATTTGTAATAAATCTCTCAGAGATATAAACATTATCTTGAAAAGATGACATGAATGCTTTGCATCATGGAGAGCTGCCATCAAATAATCTCAGCTAATCCACACAAGCGTGGAAAATGGCCATGAAATATTGTTGATGATGATTTTAGAGAAAAGTTTAGATTTCTAATTTATTAGTTTTTCATTCATTTGCATATGTTAGGATGAACACTTCTTGAATAGGAGCTTTGTGTTTTAACTACCTGTACGTAAAACCTAGAGTAAATGAAAAATAAGTGACAGTATGTAGCTCACCCAGATATATTCTTAGTTAATTACATATTTGAAAAATGGGGAGTTCAAATAATACAACTTGTGTTATTTAAAAGTGAAATAGCACTTCAAACCTATGTGAAATATTAGAATTTCACAGTAAAATATAGAGGCCTTTGAATTCTAATTACTTTTGTTCTCTTTCCCACTGATTGGCTCGCTAGCCGCCTGGGGTGTTGAGCATTTATGATCACTGCAATGCTCTGGCTGGAACTAAGTAATTTAGAAGGAGAAATGTCAAATTATAAAGTAGCTGCAAACCACATGAACATGGCTTCTCAAAAAACTATAAATGCTCTGGTATTTTGCCAATAAAGTAATTAACTGGTTGGCTGTTCCATGCAAGCATTGATGAGCCTTTGCTTTGGCCTTATTCTCCCTGTACCACCACCACCATTGTAAGAAACCATGTCTTTACGATGAGGCATGCCTTCCTCTTCAGTCCACCAATAGAAGAAAGTTTTTTGTTTCCTGCATTTTGTCAACTTCAACATAGTCAATTCCAGTGATGGCTTGCTGTCTCTTTTATTCTTCCAGTTTACTTTTATTGTTCCTTGTACTGTACTGTTTTCTCCATCTATCTTTTTTCTTTGCCTTGTATGTACTTGCTAAGGCAGCCCTCATGATTTCCATACATCCTCGTTCTTTATCGTGAACTAGTGGAAACTGTTTGATATATGTGGTTGGAAACCGGCATGCAGAATTCATTAGCAAATACCGAAAGTGTTCCTTCAAAAATCTTTGCTCTTGCAAGTTATAAATATAGAAGGAAGGAGAGTTCATCAAGGTAACAAAACATCAAAGGATATAGTGTATACTTATTGATAGAAGTAATAGTATGAACCAAGAAAGACAGTCCATAGCTGAAACCAATTCCGAGTAGTATAAACATCATCATCTGTGGCCCATGAAAAGTGAATACTGTGCCTGTACTGTATATAAACAATTGGTACTTTACAGTAATGTATGAAGGTCCCAATGGATTGTAATTATGGTTTATAGATTGTGTTAAAAGAGTGAATGGTTGTTTGTTTTTTAGTCATAAAGAGGTCAGGTTCTCAAAACAAAATAAAGTTGGAGATATAAATACAGTACTGTAACAACATGGATGCAGCAGTAGTCATGGAGGCACAGCTCCAATACTAACAGCAATACATACTTGGACATATTGTGGACTGGTTTATGGAGAAAAACTTGAACAGAACACGTACTGTATTAATGTCTACAATTTATCGATCTGGATAAGGTATTAAATGAATTAGAGATAAATTTGTTTACTTCCTAAAAGGTAGTTGGTGACAATAAGTTCCTTGTCATCTTTATTATTACATTTGTACTGTATGTTCTTGTTAAAAAGTGAGAAGAATAAACATGAACATGTGATATGATGTTTGAGTTGATCCATGAGGTTATTGACCCCACAACATTTACTGTAAGTCTCGTCATAATCAACTATTTAAACTTGATTCCAGGATTGAGAACTCTACATGGAGAGCAAGTGTAAGGTAGAATAAATAAAGAATAGACACCCTTGACATGAAGGTATCCTGAAAAGGAAGGACGAAAGCTGAAGAATGTTTTGCTGCTGAGCATAAACAGGTATGGTTCAATTGGCTTTTATACAGGTATACTGTACATCAGTTAAAAAATGTTGGTACAGGTACAAGGAAGATTCATTAAATCCTGTCATGCAGCAAGGACCTGGTCACTGTTATGTTCTAACATTATGGACAGTTAAAGGTTTCCTATGATTTTAGGCATTGCCCACTGAAGGGATTTTATGGGAATATCGTTTACTGTATACAGTATATCATTGCATGTATTAAGTCACAGTTAGTTTGTTGACAACTATTGCAATGTAATCATCTTTGAAATTGTTGTTTATATTTTTCTTTTGAGATTTGGAATTTAATATTATTTGGTATACACTACAGTATTTGCTAGATTTGGTTGTACAGTACTGTATTGTTCATTATGTGACTGAGTTCAGGGACTCAATATCTCCTCAAGTGAAGCAGCAGTGTTGAGCCTTAGTGCAACTAGATTTGGGGTGTGTGGCTCACACCACCCCGAGTAATGGGTATTAAATTTCAATAAAGAAAAAAAATAACATTAAATAAATAAATCAAAATAACAGCATCACTAATTAAATGGCAAAATAATCATGAACATACAGAAAAAATATTAATTATCTCGTATTTCAACAATACCTTGGTTTGCTTAGTTCAAAGTTCCCCCCCTCCACCCTTGGTAAATTTCTGGGTATGCCACTGTGTCTGATATTGTAACAAGTACTGTATTGTATATACCGTTCCCTCTTTTAATCCTCCTATAGGAGTAAAAGAAGGAAAACATAAGAGTCTTCCAGTGGGTGGCAGATTGAGTTGTTTTGAAGGATTTTTAAGTGGGGTTCTAGAGCATGTAAATTTGTTTCAGAAAGATTGAAGGGGAAAATGAGAAAGCATCAAAGTTGCTTGGTCCTAATCTGAAGGAATGTTGAAATTTTGTTGGATTGAATAATTGAAATGTAACAGATGGACTTCATGGACTGGAGTTGTTTTCAGTTGAGATTTTCTGTGTTTTGAAATTTTCTGGAGTTTACCCGGTATTAAGTGATTTTTTACCTCAAGTGGATGATTAAGGGATTTTCTGATACTGGCTTTAGAATGGCCATAATTAGGCAGTTAAAGTAGGTCTAAAGAGGAGGCCTATAAACATGTCACTGTTGATAGGTATTACTTTTACTTTTATCCTCTTCACCACTGATTGGCTTGTTAGGCGCTTGGGTGATCGGCTACGTCTGTTAATTTTCCTTTTCATTTATCCTCTTCACCAAATGATCGGCACGTTAGCCGATTGGGCGATCGGTCACGTCTCTGTTACGCACTGTTGGCAAGTACTAGGCATGCACCGGCTCCTGAATGTACCTGAACCTGCTCCAGTGTTGGTCAAGTCTTGTCTTGAAAGAGCACACACTCGGTGCCGTCACAATACTTTCTGGTAGATTGTTCCAAGAGTTCACAACTCTCATTCCGAAAAAGATTGCCCTCACAGTTTTCTGGACTTGCGGCTTCTTCAATCTTAAGCTGTGACCCCTTGTGGGGCGAGCGTCCGCCAGCTCTAAGTAAGGACACTCAACTGAGTAGTGCCCCTTGAGATGCTTATACACCTTAATTAGGTCACCCCTTGCCCGTCTGTAGTATAAGCTAGGCAAGTTCAGGCGCTCCAATCTCACAGGGTAGCTGAGGTGCCGAAGTGCAGGCACCAGTCTGGTGGCCCTCCTTTGAACATTTTCAACCAACTGACAGTCCCTAGTATATCTCGGGGACCAGGCGGGGTGACAGTACTCCAGATGGGGAAGCACTTCACTCTTGTAGATCGTTACGAGGGACGGACCGCCTAGATATCTGAACGACCTTCTTATAAGACCCAATAATTTATTTGCCTGATTTACCTTCTTCTCGCAATGGCCCGAGAACTTCAGCTCATTATTAACATACACACCTAGGTCCTCACATTCAGTCTCAAATGTGCAGTTTCTTCATCCTGTTGGGACATATGATACGCCTCCTTACCATTGGTACGCCCCAGGTGCATCTTCTTACACTTCGTGACATTAAATCTCAGCAGCCATTTCTTCGAACATTCTTGGAGCCCACAGAGGTCCTTCTGCAGCTCTTCACAGTCCGCTTGGTTCTTAATTTCCCAAAATAACTTGGCGTCATCGACAAACATTTGTATGGAGGAGTGTACAACGTCAGGCATGTCACTAATGAAACAAACAAATAACAGCGGGCCCAATACACTGCCCTGTGGTAGCCCGCTTGTGACCGGTATGGATGATGATTTTGTGCCATTAATCACCACACACTGCTTGCGGTCATGTAGAAAGTTTTCTATCCACGCTAGGACATTTCCCCGAATTCCGTACCCTTCCAGTTTGATTTTCAGCCTTTCGTGGGGTACACTGTCGAAAGCCTTGGCAAATTCTAGGTAAATATTGTCGATATTACCACCCCGTTCCAGAATATGGGTCCAAATATCCAATACCTTGGGCAATTGTGTTAAGCAGGAGCGCCCTGGCATAAAACCGTGTTGGCAATCCTTTACAAGGTTGTTTCGTAGTAGATGTTCCATTGCGGCATCTCTGATAATACTCTCAAG